GAAGGTCTTTGCTTAGATATGGGTGTCATTCATTCGAGAAAGATAAGTGTAATGTTCTACCATAGTCCAACTCCCTTCTCCCAGCCAGGGTATATCCTGAACCTGGCTTTTGTGTCCTGGCCCTGCCTGGTTGAGGGGAAGAGTACATGACACCCGATGTAAGGAAGTTGCAGCTAGAAGTCTTAATAGGTTGAACTCTATGGTCTGTCCTGGAGACCTGACTTCGTAGGAGAGGTTTCTAACTTTCCTCTTGGGATCTCACCGCCCTTTTGCTTAGCCATCTGTCCCTGTGGTAATGGCTCAAGGGAGGGGCCTAAACTGTCACCTGGGTGGGTACTTGGACTTCGTTCTGCTCTCTTTCCAGCCCCAAGTAGAAAGCCGGGAATGAAATTTCTTTGCCAGACCAGATACATGTCAGGATTCAAACATCTGGCAGGTGTAGGAAGGGGAAGAAAGCTCTGGCGTGGCCAGCACGTTGGAGGAAGATAAGAAAGGCCAGGTGCTTTTTCTTGCTTTTCTCCCGCCTTAGTCATCATTTTGAAAAACCTGCTAATATGGTAGGAAACTGTTGAAGTAGATGACACTTTTGGGGAATATTCTGCAGGCCACAAATACTCTTTGTTCAGCAATGTTTCAGAGAGTGCTTCCCGGAGATATTTATTCCTTTGGAAGACTGTACCAGGGTGAAGGAATAGAAAGGGTAAGCAGGTTTTTCCCTGAAGTGAGAAGGTGAAATAGAGCACATGATTTTTCTTAGATAGATTATTTCAGCTTAGACTTCTGGAAGCAGAAATCCCGGCCCGCCTTCCTTACCTGGCCTCACTTGGCCTTTGCCTTCTCCACCCCATTTCTGCTCATTTCTATATACTTTTCAATTTGCTGGTTAGCGGGCCCAGGTGTGTGTGGGACTTGAGCTGGGGTCCATATTTATCTTTGTGGGGTGTCAGAAGCCCAAGGGGCACTAGGTCACCCTCATGACCTCTTTTCTCCCTGCTATATTAGATTTGTCACACGCTGACAGAAAAACTTGTTGCCATGACAATGGGCTCAGGGGCCAAGATGAAGACTTCAGCCAGTGTCAGTGACATCATCGTGGTGGCCAAGCGGATCAGTCCCAGGTGAGCTGTTGGGGCCTGGAGGCTCCACACCCCTCAGGGCCTGGAGACCCTGGAGGCAGAGGTGGCCAGCAGGAGAAGGTTCTTGTGATATCCAGCACTGGCAACTTCAGTTTTTTATGTCCCGAGCATTCATAGAGCATCCAGGGGGACTTAGGCTTAGAGAAACTTTCAAGCTTAAGTGGCTTCACACCCTGCAACTTCCAGCTGTGGTGCTCCTACTGATAGGCTTCTACCAGTTGGGGCTCCTTTGGTTCCCTGTGCACTCTTCCTCCCAGGCTCCAGGCAAGTAAGCACATTCCTACTGCCACCCACACCCCTCTCTGCAATAACTTCCTGGCCTTGCCCTGTCCCAAGCTTACGTCTGTATGGGAGACCATGTTGGGGGACCTGCTCCTCGGGTTGTGCTATTATCTGCTGTCCTGTCCATGTCTCAGCCAGCAGCTTCTAGAACTGGGTGGGAGGTGAAGCCATGTATCATCAAATCTCCCAAATTCCAGGCTGTCTGCAAAGTGTCATGTGGGAGGCACCCAACAGGATTGTAATCAACAGCTACACCCCCTCCTTTGGGTAAAGAAAAATAAAGCCTTTTTCTTAGAGGAGGGCTGTGCTAAGGGTGTGCTGCCATCTGGCGGTTGGCATGTGGATGTGCCTGAGCCTGGAGTTGTCCACTGGGGATGTTTCCTTGATCAGTACAGCACTTAGCTGCCTAGAGGGTGCCTCTGTCTGTATTCCTTACTGGGGATGTTGACACTCTCGTGGGCTCCTGGGGCCCTCGCCTTCCTGGCTGCCATAGCCCTGGGTCCCCTCAGCTCTCTGAGGGAATGTGAAAGTTGGTGCACTTGATGTCTGTCCAGGCCATTTAGTGAGAAAGTGAGGAAGATAATTTAGGGGAGGCACTTAGCCCAGAACAGTTCTTGGCTCACTCTTGGAGCTCTCCCTTGGTGGGTGTAGTCCCTCTGTGAACCCGTGGCCTTAAGACCCTCCTAACCCAGGCATGGCCTAGACCCAGACATTCCTTCTGGCCACCCACTGTTGGTAAAGAGAGCCTGCTCCTGCCGACCTGTGCCCTTTATTGTGCCTCCTGTCACTGCTAAGAGCCCTTTCTAGGTGCCATGTGACACCAGGCCCCAAGGCCACATTACCAGGAGGGTTTATGAAGAGGATTTCTGAGATTGTGACGTGCTGGGTCATCAGGGCTGGCAGCGTCGCCAGGATGAGGCTGGCATCCCTCAGAGGGCAGCTCTGGTCTGCTGCTCGCTGACTGTCCTAATGAGCACTAGAATTCCCTGTTAGGGTCCTTGCTTTGTCTTTTTGCACTCACATATTATTCTCTTTCTGAAAAAGTTTTTGTCCCCATTGTTTTTCTTGCTCCATTTATTTCACATTGTGTGTTAATGGCATATTAGTTTCAAGGAGAGTGACTTCCGCTCCAGGGCACCACAGAGGAGGGGTTGGTTAAGACAGCTGAGAGCGCTGTGCCCCTGCATCTCCTCGTGAGTCTTCAGCCTGCCGACAAGAACATTTTTTTTTTTTTTTAAAGATTTATTTATTTATTCATACAGAACTGGGGTACAGGCCAGAGGCTCAGGGACGGCGAGAGGCTTCACCAGAGACAGAGTGGGGAGCAGAACAGGCAGATCGACGAAGTACACTGCTGAGGGAAGCAGTGGGCGGGCCAGGAGAGGTCTGGCTCGCCATGTGGTCTCCTCCGGGGCAGGCGGCAGGCGGGAATCGAACTCATGCGGAAGTGGCTTCAGATTCTCAGTGCTGCGCTTTAACCCGCTGCGCCACCAGGGAGGGCCCCGACAAGAACATTTAAGGACATCCGTTTTCATGTGCATTTAGAAACCCTAGCGATAGGTTATTTTCCTTCCCATCAAGTGGTTCAGAAGCAAGGATTTGAAGCAAAACCTTGTACCATGCAAGTCAGAGTAAAAAGTAGTAGTGGTTCCTTTCTGAACCCAATTTAAGCTAAAAAAAGAAAACATCTGTAACTGTACTGAGTGTGCCAGGGGAGCTGTTGGAACCCACGTTAAACTTGTAGACACCCCTCTCCCCCATGTTCTGTATAGCCACCTTCCCTATGGTTCATTTTGCTTTGAACATAAAAGTAATAAATACATGTAAAAGTTAAAATAGTGTAGAAATAGATTATAAAGAAAGTGAAGTACCTCCGCCTTGCATCCGTCCCACTGTGTGATGACTTTTCTTCCAACGTTCCCCTTTTGCATTCTCTACCTTTTGTCTATTTCAATGTGAATGGCATCAATAAAACTTGATATATTGTTTGGCCAGTTGCCTTTTCAATTTAGTAGTTTATCTTGAACATCATTCCTATGTGGGAACTTGTGTTTTTTAAGCTACTGGAACTAAAACAAAACCAGCACACAAAATATTCTTTTCCCTGAACCTGAAGTCAGGCTATCTACAGGTGGAACAGTGCAGGAGTAGTGAGAGAAAGAATCGCCAAAGAGAAGATTTAAAGTAAAGAACAGTAGAAAGGAAGGAAGGAGAAGAACAGATTAGAAAATCAAAATACTGAAACCTTTTCCTCCCCTCAGAGTGGATGATGTCGTGAAATCGATGTATCCTCCGCTGGACCCAAAGCTCCTGGACGCACGGTATGGGGGTGAGGTGGAGTGAGTGGTCATTTGTAGATATGGGGGTCAGCAGTTTGGGTGGTTGAGGACAGGGCTGTTGGGCTGGGTCCTCGAGGCTGCCAGGTTCTGGGGACTACTCACATCGTGTGCCCAGTCTGGCTGGGCAGGAGAAGAGTCCTCTTCCTGAAACCTGAGAGGAGAACGAGCCAGTCTTAGATTTTGAATTTTTGTGATTAAAACTTCCAGCCCTGCTCAGTCCTGTCTCTGTTTTCCTTCCCTTCCATTTTAGCTTTGTTTGTTTTGCTCTTTGGACCAGAAGAGCAGGCACTTCAGCGGTCTTGGCCTCCCAGGGTGGGTGAGCTGGGCAGTGAGATAAGTCAGCTAGAGCTGTGCCTGGGCAGTGAGACAAGTCCACCTTCCACAGGACATACCCAGGATCCATTCTCTCCCAATCCTCCCGGATAACATACTTGAAATTATGTTTCTGCCCCAGGCACAAAATAAACCTATTAAAAACCAACAGATTCTTTTGTCTATGGGTTTACATGACGGCTTCACAGACATGTTGTGTGATGATGCCAGGTAGGCAGTGAGTGGATCATAGTGCTGCATTTGGCTTCTTCGTGCCATCCCCTTGCTGCCTGGGCATGTCCATGGACTAGTAATCTGTACCCTATTCCCAAATGCACTCTGCCTTTCCCATAAGTAGGAAAGATTTTACACTGACTTTCAATATTGGGGGAAAAAAACCTCAGTTTGATTTTCAATTATTATTACTTTTAAATGGGATAAGCCAGCCCTGGTTTATAATGATTCAGATTCAGCTAGGTCAGGATATGTGTGTCTTGTCTGTAAGTGGACAGTGGTTGGGGAAGTGTTTGTCCACTTGACTGGCTCCACATTGTCCCATAGAACACTCACTCCCCTGGGTAATGTTTGGGGGTATGCTACTGAAATTGGGCTCCACAGTCTTGAATAAATCCGTGAGAAATAACTTGTTATAAGCTCCCCTTAGAGATTCTGATGTACCTGCAGGCTGCTGAGAAGGGCTTCAGCTCATCTTGTTTACCCCAGTCATTCTCACATTCACTTGAGCATGGGACCATCTCTCAAGGGCACATTTGCCTGCACCATAGGGAAGGTTCACTGGTTTGGGGAACTAACTAGTCTACAGTCTGTGCATTTGGGCCAAAAGTCCCTCCTTTCTCTGGGAGGCTGATCATCTTGTTTTTGTTTGTTTGTTTGTTTGTTTTTGTTTTTCCAGGACAACTGCCCTGCTCCTATCTGTCAGTCATCTGGTGCTGGTGACCAGGAATGCCTGCCACCTGACAGGGGGCCTGGACTGGATTGACCAGTCTCTGTCAGCCGCCGAAGAGCATTTGGAAGTCCTGCGAGAAGCTGCCCTGGCCTCTGAGCCAGAAAAAGGCCTCCCGGGCCCTGAAGGCTTTCTGCAGGAGCAGTCGGCCATTTAGGGCCCGCTGTCATCCCTGGGTGGCTCAGCTGAGCCTTCTACTTTTTCCTGTAGAATTAGTTCTTCTCCATGACTCAGAATGACAGCTGTGTGTACATAGTAAAGCAGGCAGCCCCAGAAGCCTCTGTTGCAGTTGCAGATGCTGGCTGGAGAGTGGCAGTCTAACACTACGGTTGGGAGAGCTGGTGTCAGCACCGTGTGGCAGAGCTCTGAAAAACCAGTGCTCTGTAAGCATTCCTCAGCTCACCTAGTGTTTGTAAGAACATCAGGCCACGATATCAGAACCAAGAATGTTCACGTTAAAATTAGACTTTCTGGCTTCTCCAGAACAATCAAAGATGAGGCAACTCTGATTTTCATTTTCGTCAGAGGACAATCAGTTAAACTAAGTAGGGGTTGCCTCTTTTGCCAAGACCTGTGCTCTCTCACCTGGCCTGTTTTCATTTATTTGTACCTTCTGCCCGGTCCCTGAGATCTCCCTTCCTTTCACAGGTTTGGGTTTGAAGGCGAGCACCACTGACTTGGTTATTTCCTTTCTATCATTATGCCTGCAATTCTACTTAGCCTCCACTAGGTGAATAGTAAATACATGCTTAGGTTTCCCTCAAGTGTGTGGTTATTGAGTCAAAGTCAAATGCAGTGTGCATGGTGGGACATGGCCTGAGAACTGAGGATGGAAGGAGCAAACCCAAGAATCCTGAGGAGACCTTGCGTATGTGACTCAAAATGAGATATTTAAAGACCTCTCTGAGTTCAGGCAGAGGTGAAGAAAACCATAAACACTGTAGACCACAAGGCAGTTTCCACACTAGCAGTAACATCCATGAAGGATGTGCTCCCTGTCAGTAGCTGCTTGTTTTGTAAATACTGACAGATGAGGACATTTTTATGACTTGAGACCTCTGTGGGACCCAGAATCACAATTGCATAATGCAATCACACAGCCAGACGGCATCATTTCCTTCAGAAGCATACAGAAGAGTCTGTACCCTTTGCTTCCGCCCAATCCTCACAGACTCCGTCCCTCTTGGGGGAGGGTCCAGGCTTGGGGTGGCTTCGCCTCATGGCTGCACTGTAAAGCTGGTCCTGAGCGCCACAAGCATTCCTATTCAGTTTCTCCGCCCACACTCAAGCCAGCAAACCCATCAGCCTAAATTCTAGAGACTCAGGAACCCACGTCCGGAGTACCAGATTAGGGCCTTGTTTGACATGGAAGCACATTCCATTCTCCTGGAAAACAGGATGCTTTGAACTCATTTCACTGGAGGAGCTGGATTCGGGGGAGGGAAACCAGAGCTCAGCTCTCATGAAGGGTATATTCCTGGCTACTGGGGAACCCATCAACCTGGACACATGCCAGGAACTTCTGTCCTGCTGGCAAACTGTGAGTAGGAGATGTCTATAGTGCTAGCTTGGACTTTTTCAGTTGGCTGCCACATATGGACATCCACTGTCCTACTTTTTTTGGCCTTCCTCTAATAACACCTGCTCTCATTCCAGCCTGGAAGCCCTGCTACATTTGTGTGGTTGACGTAGTATATGTGTTTGGGCATTTGAACTGGGAGCACAGAACTAAGTGAAAAAGAAACAGCACTGAATAGGCCTTTCAGACCCCATCTTCCAGGTGTGTGTGTGGGAGGTGGGGGCGCAGGGAAGTTTCCAGCATCTCTGAAGTTCACTCACCTACTTTCTCTGGCCCCGGTGGCTTCTTGAACACTGGGTTGTTGCCCTTTCCAGTTTCAGGAGAGGTGGCCAAAGACCATGGGAGTGTGGGCTAGGCACCAGGTGCTCTTAATTCCACTTGGGAAGGCTCTGGATAAGGTTTGACTGTTTGACTGAGTGAAAACACCATCTTGGGGTGGAAGGCAACCCTTTGGGAGTTGACTAAAGTCACCTCGTTTGGGAGGGGCTAGTGGGTGAGCTTGGGGTATTCAGATGTGGTTTCCCCAATTTCCTACTCACAAGTGTCATGTGTATCTGGTGGCAGTTCTTTTCTTTCATGACTCCTTCACCCTAGTTGCCGCTCTTCTAGGGTAAGAACACTAGACTCCAGTTCTAAATGGAGTAGGCATTACTCCGGGATAGCAACTGAGTATGGAAAAGGCAAGATCTTTGAAGTCAGACAGAATTATATTCAAATTTTGGCTTAGTTATTTGCTGTGTGAGCTTGGACAAGTTACTTAACTTCTCTGGTCCTTAGCTTGCTCACCTGTAAAATCAAAGCTACTTCCTCACCGAGTTGGTATATCAACCAATGAACTAGTGAACATGAAACACCTAATTGCATGCCTCCTGTTAGTGAGTGAACATTAACTCTTCTTCCTATGCCTCCTGCCCCCTAAAGCAGCTGACTCCGATGGTGTAATTCAATTACCAGAACTGTGTCCAAAAGGGGCTTCTGATCATGACCTAGAGTGGAGTAGCCAAAAATAAGGACTCAGTGCTGTTGGGAAAGGGGCCAAGCTTGGTCCCTGCCCCACCCCAAGAATGTTCACAAATGAAGACAATTCCAGCTCTTGGCCTCCTCTTATCAGTGTTTCCAGCACTGATTGCTCAAGCTCACATTCCTCCAAAGTGCAGCCCTTCAGTCAGTGCAACCTCCCAGACAAAACTTATGTTTCTGACTCCCCGGTGCTACCAGTCAGCTTCACCCCAGAAGTCCCTGCTTTTCAGAGACACTATTCTGTGTGCTCATGTGAGCCTGCACTGTAGAAAATAACTTATAGTTCAAAGTCCCTGAGTTGCTGTATGACCTTGGATGTCTGGGAAGGTGTCAAATGAACAATTTCTATTTCCTCTTTCCCTCCTGTTCTGCCTTTCTCCTTTCCACAAATATGCTTACTCCAGGGGAATTGTGGGGTAGCCTCCGGGGATGCAGAACAAAAGATATCTCCCTGTCCTTAAGGAGCCAGAGAGGTGAAGAGCAGCTGTGGAGACCACAATTTTGCCAGCGCAGTGCTGGAGGGGTGTGTGTGTGTGGGGGGGGGGAGGTGGTGGTGGAGGAGGCATATGACAGGGAGGGACCAAAAGTTCTGGGGAGAGAGCTGTGATGTGGGAAGGAGGGGCAGAGTTGTTCTGAGCAGACTGACATCATGGGAAAAGGAAGGGGCCAGGATCAGCAAAACATGGCTCCGTTGCAGGTATTGGGGAGGGCCAGGTATGGCAGGAAGGGAGAGGGGGGGCAGGTTGGCAGGACCTCAGATCACAGAGGACCTGATAGATAACATAGGGTGTTAGAGCTTTATCCTGGCCATAATGGGGACTGCAGAAAAGCCTTAAGTAAGGGCGTGTCTTGGTCAGATTTACTATTTAGGAACAGGGTCATTTCCTCCATGCTCCATGCATTTAGGCTATAGAACCCATCCACTTGCCCAGTGCTACTGAGTATATTTCCAGAGTCTGAGAGGCTCACTGCTCAATCGTGCTATAAAGGCAAAGCAGCAACGGGTTAGAAGAGAGGATGGGAAGGGCCAGACGTCAGGACAGAAAAGGTGAGGCAAGTGGGGAGGGGCTGGAGCGGGTTCTGCACCCACTTCTCCTAGGCACTCAGCCTTGTCTCACCAGAAATGCTGTGGGCAGTGTTTGACAATTTGAAACTTGATAAACTTCTGGTTTATCCCCCCCCCCCGTCGTTAGCACCCCCATTTTGCAGAAAAGGAGACCAAAGCTTGGATCGCACGATCCGCCACTCCTCAGA